TAACAAAATGATGTCCAGTCCCGTCCATGTTGCTGTGAAGGACAGGATTTCATTCTTTTCATGGCTGAATAGTATTCCATTGTGCATGTATACCATATTTTTTTAGAGACAGGATGTCACTCTGTCACTCAGGCTGGAGTGCAGTGGTGCAATCATAGCTCACGACAGCCTTAAACTCTTAGTCCTGCAGGTGGCTCGCTCAGGTGCCAGCAGTGTCATCAGTGCGCTGAGTGGGTAGTGGGTCCTTGGGCCCTGGGAAGCATGCATGGCATTGGGAATGGCAGTAGCAGAGGCAGAACAATCCTCAGGCTCCAGGCAGCATGCTCTGGTGCTAATGATGGCTGTAACAGGCTGGGCAGGCTAGCCCGCAGGTGTTCAGGTGGCACATGCAAGAGGCTGCCAGTGGTCGTGGTAGCAGCAGGCTGGGTGGGCCTGTCCTCAGGCCTCCAAGAGGAGAGCACAGATGCCAACGTGGTGGGCAGGGCAGCGTGCTCAGGGACTGGGGGCTGGGGGAGGTGCCAGGGCAGGTAAGCTGGTCTCGGGCCCTCCGGTGGTGCCCACAGGCACTGGCTGTGGTGGGCAGGGCAGACGCTCTCTAGACCCCTCAGTGGTGTGTTTGGGTGGTAACAACAGTGACAGCGGTGGGCAGGGAAAACTCGTCCTCAGGGCACATGCTAGCACACGTGGCCCTGCTGCCTGGGCGGGGGCGGGGCAGGAGTTGATGTCAGTGGGACTGCCCTCCAGCAGGTAGCTATGAAGCTCTGGGGAGCACATGCTTTGGCCTCTTTTGTCCCAGAGACAGCCTCCTCAGTGTGCTGCACTTCCTGTTCCCCAGGGCATACAACAGTGGGCTAGACCGCTGGTGACCCTGCCACACTGCTGGGTCCAGCCAGCGTCGTGCCATTGCAGCCCTCCACGTGGACATAGGGAGACGTCAGTGGTGTTCTAGGGATGTAGAGATGTAGAGACCGTTGGGCCCCAGGGCAGGATGTAGTCTGGTGGGGCTGGCTCTCAAAATGGCACTGTGCTGCAGCTGCCTAGGCCTCCGGAGGGGTGTGGGCCCCAGTGTGAGCTCCCTCCCTTGAGCAATCCCACGGCTCAGACTCCAGGCAGCTCCCTACGCTAGTCTCTGGGCCCACGAGGGCTGAGGGGCTCTCCCTTGGCAAGGACTGCAGGAGTCCCCCGTGTGAATGTGGACTGTTGGGGACCTCTCACTTACCCATTTTCCGCCCTGGGGAGCTTCTCTGGGCTCCCAGTCAATCCCGGCTGAGCCAGGGCCTTGCTTCCCTCTCCTTACATGCCTCGTGTTCCTCGTCATTTATTTGCTGAATTCCAGTGTTCTTAGATGCGCTATTCAAAGTGTGATTATCTATTTGCTATTTTGGTTCTTCTTTGTGGAGGAGGTAAGTGCCAGATGTCTCTAGTCAGTCCTCTTGAAGCCCCCTCTCAAGTTAATTTTCAATGTGACATCAGGGTCAAGGTTTTCATTTTCATTTTCTTTGCTTTTTTTGCATATAGATTTCCAATCGCTCCAGTATCATTTGTTGAAAAGACTATTACTTTCCCCCATTGAATTTCTTCTGCTCCTCTTTCTAAAATCCAGTGACCATCTATGTGTGTTTGTCTATTTTGACATTCTGTTGTCCTACTTGTCTATTTGTCTGTTGTTACACTAATGCCATATTTTTTTTTTACTGTAGCTTTGAAGTAAGTCTTGAAATCATGCTATGTAAGTTCTTTGCTTTATTCATTTTAAAGTTGTTTGGTCCTCTGGATATGAATGAATTTTAGAATCAGCTTATAAATTTCCTTTTTAAAAAAGCCTAGTGGAATTTTTATTGTGATTGCATTGAATTTACAGATCAACTCGGGGAATACTGACATATTAATATTGAGATTTACAATTCATGAACATGGTAAATTTCCTCATTTACTTAGGTCTTCTTCAACTTATCTCACCAATATAGTGTTCAGTGTACAAGTCTTGCATATTTTTGTCAGCTTTATTCCTAAGTATTTCATAATTTTATTCTCTTGTAAGTTGCATTTTTAATTACAATTCGGACTGACTTCTCTTCCTCTTAAAGGCGCAGCACTTGGACTTTGATAGTCAGCAAGGTGATCTATATCCTATCCACCAGCCAGTCCTGGGCACATGGGCGCACAGGCCCTGGAATGGGGACAGCAATGGAAAATGAAAATGATGCCTCCCTCATGGAATTTTTGTGAGGTGATGTTAAATATTCCTTCAATAAATGTCAAACCATGCTATCTATTTTGGAAGGAGGTCACATATAAATCACTTTAAGCAGTGCCTGGCAAACAGTTCCTGCTGGGGCCGGCGGCTACTGTGATTGGAATTATTGCTAGGAGATTCTCAGAGAGACTGCTGAGGATGAGGGGGCAGGAGGAGTAAGGTCACAGAAGCCCTTCCGTAGAGTCACTGGCCACATCTGTCAACATATAAGTGCACTGACTTCTCTCCCCTCGGCACCCCTCTCCCCACCTCTGCAAGCAGGTGGATTTAGAACATTTGTGCTTTGAGGAAGAACATGCACAACCCAACAGCCATGCAAGAAGGGACAGGAGCGACGCCCTGAACATGGTGGCATCCAGGTGAAAGGGGATGTGCTTGTACTACCTCAAGTCCAGATCTTACACTCCAGGTCACCCAGTGCAGACCATGGAGAAGGAGGTGTTAAAATTAGTCAGTGGTACTGGCAGAGAGATGGCCATGCAGATCGGGTATCCCTCAAGAAACTGTGACAAGAGCTTAAGCTTTTGGTTAAGAGAAGTCATCATGGCTGATTCTTTTGCACAGTTGTGAACTTTTAAAAAATTTTAACATTTTAATAATTCTAAACATGTAAGCGGACTCGGGAATACAGGGAGAGGAATTCACTACTCTGTCCCTATGGTGGCCTTCTCTCTCCCTCCTCAGAGTCCGCTGTGATGAAGTCTGGGCCAAGCACAGATCCTGCAGAGTAGCCGAATACTCACTCAACAAATGTCCTGAGGCCTGATGCCTGTTGTCTGGGGCAGACATACTTCATCCCAATCTGATGTGCAATACAGAGATTTAAATGCAAACAGACCAAAGAACAAGGCAATTGCAGACAGTGGCCAGAGCTCTGAAGAAAATGATAGACAGAGGTGACAAAGTGATAAACATTACTTAGCACTAGTGATCAGGAAGACCTCTCCAGGTGACTCCAGTGGAAGGATGTCCCTAGGCATGAATGGTGCATTTAAGAATAGACCTCGCAACCCATGTCAGAAGAGAGACAGGGCATGCTGTCCCTGTAAACTGGGGTGAGGAGTTTAGTTTATCCTAAGCCTGATGAGAGGCCACGAGATGGGCTCACTGCACCAAGGGAGGCCCAGGATGGATGTGGTGGTGCTGGGAGCTGAGGGCTATTTGTGTGTGCAGATTGCCATGCTGTTGGGAACTTCCTGGGGCTGAGAAGGCAATTGAGAGTAAGGTTGAGGGCATCATCAGCCTTTTTGTTGGTGGAGTCTGAGCCTCCAGAGCCTGGTGTGGCTTTTAGTCATCTGCAGGTGTGGTGGAAGACTGTGCAGGGTTCCAGGAGGCTCTGCCTTAGGCCATCCTCGGGAGGAGAGGGAGTGGGGATCACTGGGGGGGAACCATGAGTCAGACAGAGCTCTCTCCCTTCCAGAGGATTTATACCCAACTCTAAGTGGCTTCCACCAAAACAGAATTATTTATTGGCTCATGGAACCAAAAAGTCCACAGGACAGCTTCAGATACAACTGGATCCAGGCTCAATGAGATCAAAGGATTATTTCTTGCCATCACCCAATCGTCTCTTTTGGTTTGATTTACACGCAGTATTCTCTTTAAAGAGGAAAGATGACTCCCGGCAGGCCCAACTCCCAAATCTGGCATACAAACTCCAGGGGCCAGGAGAGGCCCTCTTTCCCACAATTCCAGCAAGTCCTCTGACTCATTAGCCTGCCTCGGTTCCCATGGCCATCCCTCTCCCCATCACTGCAGCTCCAGGTTGAATACTCTGCGGACCAGCCTGGGGCATGAGCACAATCAACACCTGATGAACAACAAGTGGATGCGTGAGTAGCTGGATACACTTCCTTGGCCACTGTTGTTAGTAACGTCCTCTTCAGGCCTTTCTCCATTTCCCCCAGTAAAAATGGGCTACGCTGATCTGCTTAGGTTGCCAAGTGATTAAATTCCAGAGCTTGGCTTTAAAAATGAAAATCCCCCACGCTAAGGAGACTCACTGTTAGGGACTGAATGTGTCCTCCCAAAATTCACATAAAGCCCTAATCCCCAGCTGAAGTCTGGACTGAAAGTGGTGGAATGAGTGAGCCCCACCCAAACTGGTACACTGGGCAGGTCAAAGGGTTGGGGCCACCAGGCTTTGTTCCAGATGTCCTGGCATATTACCAGGGAAACCCCACCCTCCAGCTCTCCCCAGCAGGTTGGCTGCCTGTTGTGTACAGAGCCCCGTGGGGGACCAGAAGGCAGTTTCAGGAAGGTGCAGAGGATCCTCTAGCTATGGCCACCCACCTAGGGTACAAGTGAGCTCTGATCACCAATGTCAACCATACCCTCATTTTCTTGGAGGTCTGAGCCCCTCGTAGCTCAGCTGGAATTTAACTCTGTCCCCACACAGACCCCAAGGCTGGAGGCAAACAGCTATTACACCGAGAGAGGAGAGCATGAACAGGCCTAGGAGTGGGCATACACCTTATGGTATCGGGGAGAAACTGACACACTGGCTGCAAACTCCTCTAACTGTAAACCCACCTGCCTGTCCCACCTAGGTATGGTCACCACCCCTCATGTCAACAGCAGGGTGGGCAAGAAGAATCACTCAGAGGCAGCAGCAGCGGTAGTGTCAAACCCCAACACACACAGCTGGCTGAGCACCATGGTCTGCAGGCCCTCAGGCTGGGGTCTCCTGCTCTCTCCCCCAAACATGCCTCCCAGGAAACATTCTCCTTTTCTCAGGAAGCACAATTTTTGGACCAGGGACACAGCTACATCCAATATACATGTTTTGCTGAACTGACGTTTTATTTACCTTTTGGGGAAATTTTTTCCAAAATTTTTAATATCAAGAGGTCCCACAAACCAGATCTGGATCCACATATTGATCCCCCAGCTCTCTCCCTTGAGTCCCGGAGGGAGAGCCTGGCCACTGTGGCAGCAAAAACTGGACAACAAAGGCCACGGCACCCAGAGACACCAGGAGCACTGGCTGGGTCACAGAGGCACACCCTAGGATTTCAGGATCTTCTTTCTCTCAGTCCCAGGATGATGGCCATGAGGTGAGCAGCACAGGGAGGATACGAGAATCCAGAAAACACGGAGATTATTAGCTGACAATGACGTTGTCACAAATAACAGGTCTGTAATTCCTGACTCATTTTGGAATCCTCACCCCATGAAACTACAGCTGCTGGAACATTTGTGGATGCCTCTTTCGAATGGGCTCAAGCCCTCTAGTTCACCAGACCCCCGCTCCATACTACCTCTCTCCCTATTTCTGTGTCCACTTACTTATTCTGCCCAACAGGTCCTGTAGGTCTTACAGTCTAGAACTTACCTCCATGTTCTAGATTTCAGAGGACATGGCTTCTGAGCTGATTCTGAAAACACCTTCTGACCAATGCTGGAGGTTCTGGAACATTCCCTGGGAACAAAGGACCCAACTTTTGCTGTCCCTAGACACACAGAACATCTCACACCAACTCCCTTCTCCTTCAAGGTGAGCTCTGGACCCACAAACAAACCTGACATCCAGACCACGAGTCTTTCCCTGGAGGACTCACGGACCAATGCAAATTAGGCCAACGTTTCCTACAGCTGTCCTCTGCCATCCTGCTGTACCCACTGAGGCAGAAAAAAGTCAGGGACCCACCCACACAAAAGCCATTCCCTCTATTCATGGTGACAGTGCCCAATTCTGTTCTCAATCTCTCCACACACAGGTATCAGAACCACCAATATTAGACGTGACTTGAACAGTAAAGCCTTCACTACCACACAGTCCAGAGCAGTAAGAGGCAGCCTGCTAGGGCCTGACAAGTACCATGTGTAGTGTCCGTGAGAAAGGTAAACCTTCCCAGGAATCCCCCAGCAGACACTGGCTCACCTCCTCCTGGCCAGAGCTGGGTCATGTCCACACCTAAACCAGTCGGGGGCAGGGAGGGAGAGAACGAGGCCTGTTAGGGGCTCCACCATTCATAATTTTCTCTGTCCCTGAACTTGCTGGGCTGACAGATGCACACTGTGGGGACCTGCCAGTGGGAGAGGTGGGATGGCCTATGTCACAAACTGGTAGTGACACAACACTGCCAACAGCCCTGGGCAGGTCAGAGTACACGTCTCCTGAAAGCTTCCCACATGTCTGGCACACACAGGGACTCTTCCCAGGGTAGATGCTGGGACGAACAAGGTTTAGCTTCTTTCAGATGGTCCTTTCACAGAGGGCCACTCTCCTCCATCTCCTTTCGGGAATGAGACCTTCTGTGAGGAACAAGGTGCTAGTGGCTAAAGGCTTTCCCACATACCCTGAACGCCTAAGGCCTCTCTCCAGCATGGACTTTCTTGTGCTGAAGGAGGGTAGAACTGTGTTTGAAGGCTTTTCCGCATTCTGTACATTCGTAGGACCTCTCTTCAGTGTGGAATTGCTGGTGCCGGTTGCGGTAGGACCTGGTAGTGAAGGTTTTCCCACACAGGCTGCACTCATAGGGCCGTTCTCCAGTGTGAACTTTCCAGTGCTGATAGAGGCCAGAATGGGTCACGTAGGTCTTCCCACATTGCTTGCACTCAAAAGGCCTTTCTCCAGTGTGAACTCTCTGGTGAAGAATGAAACTATGATTGTATTTAAAGAACTTGCCACATTCCGTGCACTCATAGGGCCTTTCTCCAATATGAACTTTCCGGTGCCGAATGAGGGTGGACAGAACACTGAAGGCTTTCCCGCATTTGCTGCACTCATAGGGCCTTTCTCCAATATGAACTTTCCGGTGCCGAATGAGGGTGGACAGAACACTGAAGGCTTTCCCGCATTTGCTGCACTCATAGGGCCTTTCTCCGGTGTGAATCCTCTGGTGCAGAACAAGCGCATCTTTGCGGTTGAAAGTTTTCCCACATTCACTACACTTGAAAGGTTTTATGCCTGTGTGAACCTTTTGGTGCTTCCTCAGTTTAGACGGGTAACTGAAGGCCTTGCCACACTCGTCGCACACATGAGATGTTTCTCCAGTGTGAATTTTCTGGTGATTAATACGAGCTGATTTCTCCTTGAAGGCACTTCCGCCTGTTGGGCATCTGAAGGTTCTCTCTCCAGAGTGAGTTATCAGGTGGTCAAGGAGAGCAAAGGCCTTCAGGAAGACCTTCCCGCAGTCACTGCACTTGAAGGGCTTCTGTGCAGCATGGGCTCCCTGCTGCTGACCATGACTAGACCTGGGTGGGAAGGCCGCCCCATGCTCAGTGCTCCTGCTTGGCTTCCTCTTGCTGTGGGTGTCCTGGTGTTGGATGAGGCCTAAGGTAGCTGGGATACCCTCAGATTCTCCACACATAAAAAGCTTCTCTGAGAGGTGAACTTTGCAGCTCTTCACTTGCTTGGGAGGAGCTTCCTCATCCTCTGTTCTACACAGACAACCTGAAGGCAGAGAAGAGTCAGTTGCTGAGAGTCGGCCTGGAAGCAGGAGGTGCCTTCATCACCAGCGCATGTCAGATACACCCAGAAAGAACTCCCTCCACAGAATTGTTAGGGGGTTTTTGGGAAAGGTCTGGGTGAGGAAGGGCTGGCCCAGTGCTCCACCAGACTACAGAACAGGGAAAACCTCAACTGAGATGAGGACACAAGATGGGGTGCAGAGAGGAGAGTTAGGGTCTCCAAGTCACTCTTCTGCAAAAAGGGTTTCAGTAGGGCCTTGGCTGCTTGTGACAGCTGAGCATTGTGAAGAGGCATGTGTCTAGCTCCAGCACAATCTGATTGCAAAATAGCACCTGAGGTAAGGCGTGGTAGCTCAAGCCTGTAATCCTAGCACTTTGGGAGGCTGGAGCAGGAGGATTGCTTGAGGTCGGGAGTTCAAGACCAGCCTGAGCAAGAGCAAGACCCCGTCTCTACAAAATATACAAAACTGAGCTGGGTGTGGTGGTGCATGCCTGTAGTCCCAACTACTCAGGAGGCTGAGGCAGGGGGAACTCTTGAGCCCAGGAGTTTGAGGTTGCAGTGAGCTAGGATGACACCACTGTACTGTAGCCTGGTAACAAGACACTCTCTCCAAAAAAGAAAAAAAAAAAAATTGAGCTAAATAAATGAAAAGACATCCCATGTTCATTGATCTAAAGACTTGATATTAAGATGGCAGTACTCCCCAAACTGATCTACTGATTCAAATTCATGGCTCAAGCTCAGGGAGGGCCCTATAAACTTTCTTTTGGAGGAAGAAGGCAAAACCTGGAACACAGACAAACCAAGTCTTTAGCAGTCACGGGGCCAGACAGAAGCAGAGCTGTTTGGGATTTAGTGGGCAAACTGAGAAACATCTGACCCTCAAACCCTGCTCCACTAGGTCCTAGGGCCATAGGTGTTGAGGCTGATAACTGGGCTGCTCAAAGATGGGGAAAGAGTACACAGCCCAGTCCCAGGACCCACAACACCTACAACATGGAAACTGGCAAGGAAGCAGTGTGCTCTAGCTTTGGGAGGGACAGAACTTCGCATGGCGAAAGGGCAGAGGTGGTCGGTTGCTGGGGAAGAGTGTAGACTTACCCAGGGAGCTAATGAGTGCGAAGTTCTCCAGCATCACATCACGGTATAGGCTCTTCTGGGTCACACTAAGGAGTCCCCACTCCTCCCGGGAGAAATACACAGCCACATCCTCAAACGTCACCAGGCCCTGCAATGATGGATTCAACTGAGCCTTAGGGTCAATGGTGGGCAGAAAAAAACCACCAAAATATGGACAGATGGACACATCCAGACCTTTGACTTGTGTCTCAAGATCCTGCCACATCTCCTACTGACATTATCTTACCCTTTCCCAACCCTTACCCGACAACATCCCCTACACGTACCCTCATACCACTCTTCTTCCAAGACCCCCACCTCAGAGGAATACCAGAGCTTCTGGTGTGACTGGTGCCGCCAGTGTTACTACTGGACACTGTGTCCAGCCCACAGAAACAGAAGGCTGGTGACAAGACTAGTGCCGGCTACGTGCAGGACCAAGCCCCCAGGCCCCATCCTATCTCCTGCCTGCCAATTCCGAGTCCCAGAGATCACCTCTCAGACGCAACCAAACCCATGCTCACCATTCTCCCTCGGGCCCCAGGTACCTGCTCCCAGGGCCCTCCCGTTTCCCTTCCTGCCCCCAGGAACATAACTGTAGGGCAGCATGCTTGGAAGTGTACACCCCCAGCACAACCTCACCAGCTCACCCTACAGGCAATTCCCTGGCCTTCGCACAAGGAGTTCTGCACATGGTGTCTCCAGAGTGCCTCGCACAGCAGCCACGATCCCATCCTGTCCCGGGGCTGACCCACATCTCTGATGGCTCCCACTGCCAAGGACGTCCCCCAGCCCTGAAGGAAGTCTTCCCCACCTGCACCTACTCCTTAGCCGCCCGGAACCACACACACAGATCTCCGAGACTCCTGGCCCTCCTCTACCTCTGCCTGTCCCTTCACCTGACACGCCCTTCCTCGCTTCCCTGGAGCACCCCCTACTCACCTGCGCCGCCTCGGCCATTGGAACCTGCGGGCGGGCCCGCGGACTCCGCCGAAACGCGTCTCCGCCGCCCCCGGCCTGGGCGCTGGAACCTCCGGCTACCGCGGACTCTCCGAAGGCAGCTCGCCCCCGCGGGGTGAAATGCGCCTGAGGACCAGGGGCCGCCTCCGGGAGACGCGGGAGGGAGGGCGGGTGCGGAGCCCGGAGCCTCGCGAGCGACACCGAGTCTCAGGAAGACGGATCACCCGCCACTGGCGCCACGGCGTGCTGAGGGCGGTGAGGGTCCCTGCCGTACGCCTCGCCCGGGGGCGCCCCACGGAAGTCACCCGGCCTGGCGGGGCCTCCGGGGCGCTGGGACCCACCCGGCAGCCGCGGAGCCAGGACCCCCAGGGCGACGCCCGAAAGCTCCCCCGCTCCCCTGGCCAGGACCCCAGCAGCCACGCCCCGCACACTATGACGTCATTTCCCTGCCCCTTTGCGGGGCGGCTCGGCGGTTACCAAGGCGATACGGGAATGCCCCGCTAGCGACTGGAGGTCGCGCATGAACTACATTTCCCATGAGACATCTCGCCGTGCGTCCGTACAGACGTGGCCAATGACGGCCCAGGAGAGGGGAGTTTCCGGGAGGGCCGCGCGGCAAGGGCGGGACTTCCGGCATCGGCTTGTGACAGTTGCTTTGCAACCACAGGAAGTAGTGGGGTGGCTGAGCCCGGGGCGGTGTACCGGAGTTCCCCGAGGAATGCGGAGTGGAGAAGGCACGGGCGTCGGGGAAGTTCCGTGACCTATATGCGCCCTGACTACGGCAAATGTTCCGCCATGAGGCCCAGCGTCCCCGGCCGGCCGTAGAGGGGCGCGCCGCGCGGGAGTGTCCGCCGGGGCCTCCCGAAATCATCCCTCTTGGCCTGAGTGCGCTCTGTGGAGTGGGATACCGAGGCTCGGGAAAGCATCCCGGACAGAGTTCAGTGAGCAGCTGGGGACCAGCAGCCGGGGGACCGGGCAGGAGGAGGAGGTGTCGGGGCAACAGCAGCCGTTGTATTTTAGATGTGTTGAGTCTTCGGTGCCCCACAACGTAGGAGACTTACGGGCCACTGGATGCACACAGGTGTGGGATACACGAAAGGTCTGTCACCGAACCCACGAAGGGATCCAGCCTAACGGCTATTACTCGCTGCACAAAAAGCCAATTCCTGAGACAAGGAGGATTGCCAAGGAAAAAAGGAATTTTAATACAGAAGACGTCTGTCGGGAGAAATAGTCTCAAATTTGTCTCCCCAACTAAGGACACGGGCTTTTGTAGTAGGTTGTGGAATACAGGTCAGGTTGCGTGGGGTTTAAAGTGATAGGGTCGGCAGGGTGCGGTGGCTCACGCCTGTAGTCCTAGCACTCTGGGAAGCCGAGACGGGAGGATCGCTTGAGGTCACGAGTTCAAGACCAGCCTGAGCAAGAGCGAGACCCCCGTCTCTACTAAAAAAAAAAATAGAAAAAAATTAGCCGGGCAACTAAAAATAGAAACAAAAAATTAGCGGGGCGTGGTGGTGAGCACCTGTAGTCCCAGTTACTCAGGAGGCTGAGGCAGGAATGTGAGGTTGCGGTGAGCTACGATGACTCCACTGCACTCTACCCAGGGTAAGAGAATGAGATCCTGTCTAAAAAAAAAAAAAGAACATGAAGTTCAGAAAGTTCCTAAACTGGCTTCCTACTTAATACTTTAAAAAAGAAAAAGAAAGAGAAAAAAGAAAGAGAAAAAACTCTCACTAAGTTGAGAGATCTGGGACGTCTGCTCTTTAGCAGCAGCAATTCCCCTACTTGCCTATCTGTCACTCCCCAGTAACTATTTGGCACCCACCGTATGCTGGGTGCTGAGGACGCACATGTAAACAAATCAAACAGGAGCCTCTAGCGGCACAGAAGTTACATTTCTTTCTGGACAATGCTGGGTACCCTCTTGGCCACCTCTCCTCCAACCACCCTCTGCTCCTTACTGTGGCCTTCATAGGACAAGCCTGTCCCTGTCTCAGGGCCTTGGCACCTGCCATTTCCTCAGCCTGGCAGGCTCTTCCCTCCTATCTCTCTAGCATCTGTGTTCCTACTCACTGACTCCACCATCTAAGTTGGGTCCCCGTGAATCTGTCACATAATTTTGCTTTGTCTTCTGCAGGACACTTAGCCCTGACTTAAAGAACCCCATTAATACCCCGTTTGGCTGTTTATTGTCCATCTCTACCACAGAACATGAAAAATGGGAGCAGGGATATCTGCGACCTTCTTTTTTCACTGCTGCAACCTCAGTACCCAGCCCAGAGCCTGGAACATGTACAGGTGCTCGTTGGGATAAATCATGAAGAATGCAATGAAATGACAGCATGGGACAGAGACTGGGTAGGCCCACAGGGCACCTGGACAGATGCTGAGTCCATAAGAAGGCCAGTCAGGGATAAGCCCCGTGTCTTGCCTCTCAAGTAACTCCTCGAAGTCCAGCAGAAACCTGCATCTCTCTCACAGCCCACCAGCACCAACAGCAGGGAGCACAGGCTAAGCCCAACAAGCCCAAGGCCAAGTGTATCCCCCAACTCCTCTTCCCGAGTGGACACTGAATTTCAGAGGGGCTAAGAACAAGGACCAGGACTTGCACTGGCATCTCTCCAGCTCCAGACACCACACCCCTGGGTGAGTTGACTCCATCAGCTAGGAAGAACGATCTAAACACTACTTCCTCTTTAAATATGGATGTCTGACACCATTTGATTCTGTTGATACGAAAAGCCCAGAATAGAAACAGAAAATAGATGCATGGCTGCCAGGGGCCAAGAGGAGGGAGGAATGGGACCTGACTGCTAGAGTATGAAGTCTCTTTTTCACCATGTTCTGGACCTAGATAGTGGTAATGGTTGCACAACTGTGTGAATATGCTAACAACCAATGAATCGTACCGTCTAAATGGGTGATTATGCTATGTAAATTATATTTCAATAAGGCTGTTATTTTTTGGAGCCCGCAGATCTGTTACCTTACATGGCAAAATGGACTTTGCAGATGTGATTAAATTAAGGTTCTTGAGATACAAGATTATCTTAGGTTATTTGGGTGGGCCCAGTGTTCTCATAGTGTCCTTGTAAGTGAAAGAGCACCAGCAGGAGGGTGAGAGAGAGATTTGAAGATGCTGCGCTGCTGGCTTTGAAGGAGCCAGGAGCAAGGGATGCTGCTCTAGAAGCTGGAAAAGTTAAGGAATGGATTCTCTCTTAGAGCCTCCAGAAAGAACTAGCCCTGTGGGCACCTCAACTTTAGCCCAGCGAAACTGATCTTGGATATCTGCACTGCAGGACTGTAATACAATCAAAGTGCATGTTCTAAGGGATTGAGTTGTGGGTAATTTGTTACAGCAGCCAGAGAAAACTAATAGACCACCAACTCTGCTCCTGCCCCGCCAGGTTCCCTCACTGTGAGGCTGGGCTGTGGCTGCCCCATGACCCAGTGCACTGGTCCCAGCCCCTGTGGGTAACATCGGCACCTGGGTTGGGCCAAGAACTGGTCTGAGAAGACACACCCTTGGTCTCCCCGGTGTTCCTCCTCTGGTGTTCCACCTGGAAGCAGCAGCTCACACCAGAACTAGCTCCACAGACATGCCTGGGCCCAGGGTGCATTCCCAGGCTGCCTCTCAGTCACTTGTAACGCTGTCACTCCCCAGGAACTATCTGGCATCCACTGTATGCTGGGTGCTGAGGACACTCATGTAAACAAATCAAACAGGCGTGTCCAGCTGCACAGATGTCACATTTCTCTCTGGACGATGCTGGGTGCCCACCCACAACACACAGCACCCCATCCCTGGCCTAGGTGAGGCAGGATGGGAGCTCCAGGGCCTGAGAGGAGACAGAAGACCCGTGTTCAGTCTGCACAGAGGGCACCTGCCCTCTAGCCCCCTGTGACTAACCCAGGAAGGCTTCTGAGAGGAGGACAGGAACCCATGAGCCACCTTCCCTGGAGCTTCTGTCCTCTGGGAAGGCCCAGGCTTTGGCTGGGGGCACAGAGGGAGGCTGAACAGGGCAGATGGAGTCCTGGAGGAGGAAGAGCAGTAACTAGCCTCAAGAAATTATTTGGGGTGGTGGGGGCTCCCGCAGGCAGGGAGAAGGGCCAGAGCCCCTGAAGCCAGCTACAGAGATCCAGGATGCCCCACCGCTCTGTGTGCCTCTGACCCAGGGGTGACCTTGGCCTCTCTGAGCCATGACTAGCACAGCATATTGGGAGGATCTGAGAAGCCATGATCCGGGGGGAAGGTGAGGCTCCCAAAGCAGTTTGGGACTTAGGATGGGGTTGGGAGGTGGTTTTTCAGACTCGAGGCCCTCCCCAGCCCTGGCTAGGCCATCCCTGCCTCTTCCAGCCAAGCACCCGCCCCAGCAAGGTGTGCGGGGTGGCGACTGTACATCCAGCATGTAGACAGCTGGATCTGGCCCAGCCTGGACAGAAGAGTGAAAGAACTAAGTGCACAGACTGAGGGAGGGCGGGGTTGTCCCCTGCCATGGGCCAGTGGGGAGCAGCATGACAGCGGTAAGAGCAGCAGCCGCGTTGCCCTCCAAAATCGGGAGGCCCGCAGCTGGCAAGCTCAGAGGACGGGCAGTCCCGGACTTTGGGACCTGGTGTGGGGGAGGGCGCTCCCCCAGGACTCTGCGGCGCAGTGCCTGGGGCTCCGGGTTCGGGGCTGGGGGACGCTGGCGGGCGCCTGCGCGAGCGTGGGTGGCCGGAAGGTCTCCACCTGCGCTCCCCAGGGCTGGGGATCAGGGATGCTTCCAACCAGACCCACGGAGACGGACCCAGAGCACCCCCGGCAGGACCCTCGCAGACATCCCGGTCAGGACACTGGCTGGACGGCCACGAGAGTCGGGATCAGAGGTGACTTCCCGGACCTGAGGGGGGATCTGGGTGTTCCCAGAGGATCCCTATGGGATGACAGCGGTGGCTGCTCCTTGAGAGGGTCCCTGCCCCAGGGTGACAATGCCAGGGACCCCGCGCCAGGCCCTAGTTTGGAGAAATGAGCGCTTGCTGCGCGCCCTGCCAAGGCCCCCCAGGGGGACGCCGAGGTCCAGGCAGGAGACAGGGTGCGCAGCGCTGACGCATTTATTGCGGCCCCCACACCCTCCTCCCGCCCCGAACCCGCGGGGCCCAGCCGGGGCCTGCCTCTGTCCCCCACGTGCGGCCCGACGGCCGGTCCAGCGTCCCCTCGGCCTCCGCCGGGTCCCCGGGGCCCGACTCCGGCTCCGGCGCGTCTTCGGCAGCCGCCGTCGGGGCCGCGTCCGGGTCCGCGCCCGAGGGCCGCGCTGTCCAGACCGGGGCCCAGGGCGCCCCCGGCGTGGGCCGCGCGGGGAGCCAGGAGTGGCCGGGCGCCGGGGCGAGCGCCACGAGCTGGGGCCGCGCGGGGCCGGAGGAGGCGGCGTGCGGGATGAGGAAGAAGATGTAGACTCCGGAGACCACGAGGCCCGCGGCCACCAGCACGGCCAGCGCCACGGCCGCGTTGAAGGCCCAGGCCGGGCCGTCCAGCCTCGGGCGGCGCGACAGCGGGCGGCCCAGGCGCAGCGGCGGCGGCGGCGGCGGCG